GACCCTTCACCAGTTCCTTTGCCCTTCACTGTACATGCTCCAGCACCTTGATGTCCTTGTCATGATGGGGCCAGTACTGACCACAGGATTGAAGGTGTGGCTTCACCAGTGCCAAGTACAGGGGACAATAAGTGTTCTGCTCCAGCTGGTCCGTGACCTCTTGTGCTGTGGTGGCTGACGTTCATTAAGAAAAAGCAGTCACTTCTACTGGTGTTTTTTCTCACCCCACAATGGGAAAATTAAAATAGCGATTTGAACATTTGTTTTAACTTGGTCTTGCTCAAGGGCTCTATTGAGACTCCTTAAACCTTCTCCTTTTTATTTTCTTCCCCAGATTAGCTCCTGTAGTCTTTGGTTGTTTTGTTTTGGTTTTTTTTTTTTCCATTAAGGTATTTACTCCTGCTTCCTTTAATTTTATGTCAGTTTAAAATATCATTTTTGTAGGTTTCATTTGTTCTACCTTAATTAAAAAAACCAGCCTGAAGATGTCAGCAATAGGAGGGTGACAATAGGTTTTAATGCTTGAAGGCTGCAGTTGTAGGGCTGAAAGGCATGGGCTACCTCTTGACGTTTCCCTGCCATGTTTAAAGAGGGAATAATGACTAAAATCTTCAGCTTAAAGTTCCTAATCACCACCCCTGATGCTCAGCAATGTGATCTCTCCTCCATCAACTTTTTCCAGCCCATTGAGAGAATAAGTAAATGCTTCTTGGAGAGTGACTGAATAAACATTTGCTAAGGCTTAAAATAATCAGTCCTTCTTCCCTGTAGATGGGGAGAGAGAGAATGGGGGCAAGGAGGGGAACAGAATGCACTGAACCACCAGTGGTATATTTTAAACTTCAACTATTCATGCTTCTTATTTCTCCTCATGTGTAGCTGTTATTTGTACACCATGTGAATGAGAAGTCAATGAATTTCTTAACCTTAGTATGGGAAGTGTTCTTTACTGTATCCTCTGCAGTATCTGATTTGTTAGATTGGCAATGCAGGGCATACTCAATAGAACCAACAAAAACTGGAAAAAGAGTGTCCTTGGTGGGGAGTGACATAGCACTAGTTTAGTTGGATGAGTCTGGGACCTGATGAGGAGAGACCATATTTGCCAGAGGTAGAAGGGGAATAGAAGAGTCCTAAGTACTCTTTTGTACAAGACAATGATGTAGAGGTGTAGAAGATTAAGTGGGAGAAATATCTATGCTTTTCTTGGTTTTCTTGATTTTCAACATGTGACTCAGTGCACTGTTTTCATCTTCCACCTGAACTGAGACTCATGCTTTTACTTATTCCTCTGGTCGTGGAGTATCCCCCTCCTCTGGTACCTGTCACTGCCTCCCAGAAAATAATCCATGAGAAGATACTTTCTTCTCAGGAGTACTTGGAACTTCTTCCCAAGTTTTCATTTGTGTTCAGTTATGTTTCTGAAAACATAATGCTCTGGAAGAACTTAATTTTTACAGGATGCTTCTTTTTAGATTTTTCTAGGAATCAAATGGTATCCAGATGTTCGGTCATGTTCAGTAGTTACTGTTTTCCTATGCCTACCAAGATGAAGCAGGCTCCAGCCTTCTAGTTTTTCTCATTTGCTTAAGCACAAGCATTGATTTCACCATGTGTGTATTAAGGTTATGCCTGCCTTTGAATCATGCACTTTTAATTAGTTTTAAACAAGTTAAATTAATTTTTAATTAGTATTAAAGGGAGTGGAGTAAGTGCTAAATCACTGAGGTTATTTCAGCTAAAATTTGAACCTGGTTTTGTACCCAATTGTAGGTGAGAGAGGAGAGGAGAAATTCTCTTTATTAGAAATGCTTAGTAGGGAGAGGGAGTGGGGATAGGGAAAGAGGAAAAGCAGCTGCTTTTGAGGGAAGTTTGGGCTACTTGGCATACTAATCTGTGCTTTTGACCTAGTAAACTTGTAGACTATTCAAGCAACATCCAGGTTTTAGAGTAAGGGGTACTCAGATTTTTCTGGAAGATATGATGTGTCATTTTCTAATACAGGTCATATTGTCCTTTCTCTCTCAATTCACTCTCATTTTTTCCCTCAAAGATTTGCTTGTTTTACTTGTTGCCCACTCTTTTTCTTTCTGGTGGAGATTGTGTACAGCACATAAACTGCCATAAAATCTTCAGTGTGACTCAGCTGCTGTGCTTACACTGCCTAACAGGACACAGTCTGAGAGAGAGATAATTTGGTTTTAGGAAGTTTCTGTATCAGATGAGATAGGATCCTTCATCAGAGAAGGCATCCTTCCATTATCCTGTCTTGCTGTCCACAGAAGCTTCTGGTAAAAAGAAGCTCAAGAACCACTTCTTATGTTATTTTGATTTCAGATTCTAGGTTTCTAAAATCCTTTGTCAAGTACAAGAGTTATTTAACTACCATAACCTCTGCTGCACTTCTTTGTCTTGGGTCTGGCTAGGATGGAGTTCATTTTCCCACAGGGGCCCTCACACTGCTGTGCTTTGCATTGGTAGCTACAAATGTGTTGGTGACACACCAGAGTTTTGGCTGCTGCTGTCAGCTCTGCACAGCACCAGCGCTGTCTCTCCATCATTCCACCCTCCCACCAGCAGCCTGGGGCTGGGCAAAATCTTGGCAGAGGACATAACCAGGACAGCTGACCCAAACTGACCAAAGGGATATTCCACACCATATGGCGTCAGCTCAGATGGAAAAGCTACTAAAGGAGGAGGAGAAGGGTGCTGGTTATTTACAGTGTTTGCCTTCCAGAGCAACTGTGACATGTGCTGCCGCCCTGCTTCATGGGCAGTGGCTGCACATTGCTTGCTGATGGGAAGTGGAGAATAAGGGTTTTTTGTCTTTGCTTATGCATGCATGAACTTTCACTTTTGCTTTACTAAACTGCCTTATCTCAACCTCTGAGTTGTTTTCCATCTTTTTTCTCTCCTGTCCAGCTGAAAAGTGGAGTGGTAGTGTGGCTTAGTGGGCACCTGGCCTCCAGCCAAGGTCAACCCGCCAGACCCTTCTTGTGATTCTGACTGCCTGTCTGAAGCGACAGGCAGAATCCATCCCAGCCTACAACTATCCTGAGATGTGGTTGTGGTGACATATGCTGCTTGTGCCTGTAGTTAGGCCAAGTGTTCAGTGGTGATCTTTGTCTGTGAAGCGTTTTCAGGGAGGTGGAAGGGGGATGCATCTGGTGAATGAAAACTTACCATTTCTTAGTGCAGATGGAAGAATAACAAGAGCATGTTTTTGTGAGTTTGTTTTACTGCTTTGAAATAATGTAGAGGGCATTACGTCCTGCATAGTAATGACATTTAGAGTGGAGCAGGACCACAGTGACTAAGCATTTTGTTTCTGTTGTAGGCATGAGGAATATCTTGCTCACCTATGAGGTACTGAACAGTACACCTACAGCTTTTGATAGAGTTGTTCACGGTAGTGTCACGTTTGTTACCTACTTATATATCTTTCCTGAACTCTAAAGAGTAATTGAAAACGGAGTTAATAAATACTGTGCGGAGTCACTGTGTTTAGTTACTTTGAGAGGTGTTACATATGTTGATATATTGCATCTATGTCTTTCCCTCAGTGCTTTTCTTTTCCTTGGTTTCTTCCTTATTCATGCCCTTTGTGTTGAACTCTGTGTTCAGAAGAGCTTTTCTCTTTCCTCTCCCTGAGGTTTCCTCTGTATACTAAAACGGAAAGATCAAACATGAGGAACAGTGAGGGAAAAGTTACAGTAAGAGTTGAAATTTAAAATGGATTTTTTTTTCAGTATTCAAGCAATTTGGAGATTTTTCAACTATTTACCTTAAATGAAAAGAATGATGAGATAAAGCTTCCTTTGCAATGAAATGCAAATATTAAATATTTCATGAATCAAAGAATTTTGTTTATATCTGGTTTACCAATGGTTAACAGTGTGAACCTATGGAAATTATTAGACCTTTGTATTAGATTCAGAAAGTAAGAGAAGTGACAGTGTTTTATGTAAAGCATCCTAGTATTGAACTGCAGTGGAAACTGAAAATATTAGGATTATTATGTGTTGTTACAAACTTGTTCACATATATAGAGATTACCTAGAATAGGGGAAGTGTTCTGGCGACACTGACGCTACCTTTGCCACTGACAGACGTATGTTCTCTTTTGTGGCAAAGCCACATTGTAGGGGTTTGTTTTTAACCAAATTTGATACTGAAGAGTGCTATCAGTGATCTAAAATATGAAGGCCTTGGGCTGACTTCTTCTGTCATTTGGCTGGGGTTTTTTTATATTTTCTTTTTGTCTGTGTGCCAGTCAAAGGGATTTAGTGCCCTGTATCTGTATTTACTTTAATGACTTGAAACTTAATTCACTTATTTGGTGGATTGGCAGACAAATATTTTTATGTATAGTTTGGGCCCAGATATGGGTGGACTATTTATTGTACTGACTAGTAATCGAAGTCCTTACTAAATCCCAGTTAAGGAAAAAAAAGTATTTAAAAGCCTGGTTACTGGTAGACATGACAAACTCTAAAGGGCCATAGAGGGGAGAGGGATGTCCTTTTATAGGTGCTGGAATGCCTGGTCAGAAGTGGTCTGCTCAGACATTATTAATTCCTGGCTAGGATTTTTAATTGGCTTTTGTTTGCTAGTTGGAATTATATTTAGCAAATCTAAGAACTACTAGTATTTATAGTGATTTGTAGTTTGTTGAGGAATATCTTTGGGAGCTCAAAGCATGCATAAGGAGAGGAGAGGCCACGGTTGGTTTTAATCTTTGTGTTCATTTCAGTGGGCTTCAAGCAATTTGTCTTGAAAATGTATGTACAAAACTTTACCTCTTAGAGCAACTAGTTCAGATGGAGACAATTCTTACTCAGTATTTGAGTAAGAATTTATTATAATTAGCAAATTATGAAGAAACTTGGCTGTAATAAACTGTGTTGCACTTTGTATTGTATTCTAGACTTAGCTCCAGCTTATCTAATCATTGCATTCAATGAAATAGTGTCAAAGAGTCTGCAGTATTGTTTACAGACATTTTTGGGGGGACTAGCTGGATTGTTCATTGCATCATGGTCACAGCTTGCTTTTGTCAACTTTGCATTAGTTGTTCTGCTTTACTTTTGGAAGTGGTTCTTGGGGTCCACACTTTTGTGCAACAGCTGGTTCCAAAACCTGGGGAGAAATATGAAATTTTTATTTCATCACAGCTGAAGTGAAGCTGCAAATTACTATGCCAAATATGCTGAAAAGTTCTGTAAAAAACTTAAGTGGCTTGTAAGTCTGAGATGATCTAGGAAAGAGTTGTTGTTATGTAATTTAGAGAATGGAATATCTTAGATTTTGAACAGATCACCTTGGTAGATTCAAATTTCCTATCCATGGGTGGGTTGGAAAAAGATGCTTTTGGACATGATTAGAACAGTATGATTGCTGAGTTGGAGAGGGGACTTGCAGGGAGAGCTGAGGTGCCCTGGTTTGTGTTACTGAGTGCATACATCTGCAGAAAATTTGGGTGAGTTCCCACAATGGTAAGGACATTGAAAGGTGGGTGAAAGCCTTCAGGGCTCAGAGGCAAAACTTGTGTTGGAGTTTGACTTAGGTACTGAGAGATCTGAGTGTTTTCAGGATTTTTTTTTCTAGTTTTCTGTCATCAGAAAGAATTTTAGTGGGAGTTAAATAATTGTTTAGTGGGAATTTTGCAATGTAACATTTTTTCAACAACTGACCAGTTATTAAATACTGTTGTGCTATGAATGCTTAATCTTTATTTTATAATGGCTTGTCATAAAGGAACTGATAATAACACAATCTGTAACATCTTATTTTAAAATCCAGAAAAGAACACTGTATCTTCCTGTCTAATCTTCTATATATCATAAACCAGTCAGTTACACTTGGGCTTTCTTCCTCCCTTCATCAAGTTCAGTAACATAGGATTATCTAAAACCTATTTTGTAACAGTGCATCTACTCTTCATGTTTTAAAATCAGGAAATACAGAATCTACGTCTTTCTTAACTGTTTTTTTTTCAGTAGTTTGACACTCTTGTTTCTGAAAGAAAAAAAATGGTTTTTAAATAGGTATTTATTCTAAAGCTATTGTATATCTCATTTAAACAGTTCCTTGTTTTTCCACTATGTTTTTTATTTCTTGAGACTGTCAGGTAGTCCACTAGATCTTTTTAGTCTGTTGGGGCACAATTTTCATGCTCTTGTCTTCTGCAATTTTCTTATGGTATTTCAGGATATCATTTCAAAAATCATGAAAAAAGGTTTGTGTCATTCTTATTTCAGAGCTTGGGGAACAGTCAATGTGAATATAGGAAGTTCTCAGTTTATCTTATTTTGGAATATTTTCTTTCTCTTTGAAAGTGAAATGCACAATTGAATGCTTAATCATACTCAAAACAGAGTTCTGTAAATACTGGATACACATGATGATAATTTGACTTTTCTGCAGTGTTTGGGGAAGCACCAGTCTGTTCTTTTTTTAAAATGTTCAAGAGAACACAGACTATTTGAAATGCTACATTGTGAAAATATGCTTGTCTTAACTTAATGTTTCTTTCTCCTTGTCACTTCTATTAGACTTCTGCAGAATCTCTGCTAGTGGTATATTTTATGAAAAACCTTTGTTTGCTTTCAGAGCTCTGGGTTTTCTGGCCAGCATTTTTTTCTGACAATCTGCGTTTATGGAGATAACATGATCTTGGCAAAGCAAGTAGTGCAGTATCTTTGAAAAAGCTGTCTGGTATTTCAGATAGGGAACAAGTGGAGAACTCGCAGGCCATTGGTGTTTAAGGAAACCCTAAATAAACTATCAAGCAAGTACATTTTCCTGAATTGTAAAGATAAAGCATCAACATTGCTGTCATAAATTATTCAGCAATACTAAGCATTAACATAGGATTTAAAAAAAAGAATGTATTCTTTTGCAAAAATACTTCAGCTCTTCTTCTAAAGAGTAATAAGAAGCTGCAGTATTTATATGTTATAATATCTTTCTATATAATTGCAATATTAATATATTGATATAAATATTTATATATTGGTACAGTGATTGAACTCTGAATCATTATTTGATAGGCTTGTGAATGCATTTACATAGTCTTGACTTTACTATTTAATCAAACTTCTACAAAAATAATTTTATTTGAAATATTTCTGTGGCAGTTGCTTGAATATCTCAGATTGTTGTTTGTATCTCTCAGATGGTCTTTGTTATGTTTTGTTGTCTCATTTTATGTGATCAGGCCCTGACTCTACTTTCATAAAAGTACCTAGTTGAAACCTTGTTGAACTGTATGGGATCTAAGTTGGAGAGCAGGGAGGGGAGTGTTCTGTTTTGTTGGTTTTTCCTTTGGCTGGATTTTTGGGGGGATTTGTTTGTTTGTTTGTTTGCTTGGTTTTCTGGGGAGGAGAGTGTTTTTTAAGGCGGGGCTGTAAATAATATTAGTGTCCTGGGTTCCTGTAACTGATGTGTCACTGTAAAGAGCCAGCTTGGTTTCCTTTACAAGACTTTAGGCACTTTTCCAAAGACAAGGAGGAAGGAGGGCAATGACACCAAAATCCCCTAGAAACTCCCACACCTTGAGGAGGGAATTTGTACAATGAAATTTGCATTAGATCTGACCTTTTGAAGTACAGTTTCTTAACTGAAGCTTAAAAAGCAGGGTAGGCTGAAGAAAATATTTCTGGAGAGTCCAGAGGAGACACTGACATCTATTGCTCTTGGCTGTTTGGAAGAGTTTGCTGATTCACTCTGACTTAACTGTTATCCTGTTTACATGCTGACAGTTATTTCTGCAAAGAGCTAATTTGTTGAAGCACGTGTTTCCAGATTCTGTTCAGATAGTGTAGCTGGCATAGGAGTAGTTCCTTCATCCAGATGTTTTCACATTTTTGATGTCTCTGTCTCAGATTTACTAGATTTGTTTTCTCCCATATTTTTCCCAGAAAAAATGTTACAGGAATCAAGGTAATGCATGTTTTATATCTCAGCCTACTATTGCAATTTTCTTGTCCAAGACCACTTTACCCTTTGCTTTGGTCAGATGATGAAAACTGGGAGGGGAAAGAAGCCAAATGATCTGTGAAATTGGGAGCAGCAGGAGTGACATCTTACAAACATAACATTGTGTTATGTTGAGCATAGTGGATCTTGTGGTTTTTCTTTTTGTAGGCAGAAGAGCTGGTTGGGATTATGATTATTATATTCTCCATGGTACTTTACTGTGTATGACAGACTGTAAAAGTGTACCTTTAATCTCTAAGGGTAGATATTTAGAAGTCTGGCAAAGAGTAGTAGTTTCAGTTGGGATATTCTGGAGTTGAAACTGGAGGCACCATTTCACCTAGAATGATAGAATGAAGAGACCTGGTGTTACTGTTCCATGGAATTATTTCTCACTTAAGTGACTGCAAATTTCATTAAACAGTCTTTGAGGTTTGAGTAACAGATTTTTTTCTTAAGATGTTCTGATTCTTGGGCAGGAATCAGGATCATTAATTTCCCTCTTTTTTTTCTTTTGTCTCTTTTTTCTTCTATGTTACTAAATGCAATCTGTGTTGAAAGAGAAAAGCCACAAAATAAACCGTGAAGGGGAAAGCATGTTTTTAAACATTGTTTTGACATTTGCCTTTAGAATGGCTCTTCCTCTTTCTGTTTACCTCCTACTTGCCTAGAGGATACTTCGTGATGTCACTGCCCTTTATCCCTACTACATAATCTTCTGCTCCTGGTTCTCAGGAAAATTATAGCTCTTCAGCCTTCTTGAGCTCTGAATGTAGTGTAAACACATATGACAGTTACTGTAGAGGCTGTAGAGTTACTAAGCTCTGAGGAGGGAAGTTGCCAGACTGGGGAAGTGAGATAAGAGTGCAAGAAAATGAAGATGACAGAATTCAGAAGGAAGTCCAAAAGAGTTTAACTTTTTAAAATCCAGGTCTTGGAAAAAGCTTCCTGAACAAATGCAAGCAGGGTAATTTATACTAATAGCCAATGGCAACTGGAAAGAGTTATGACTGGTTTTCCTCACAGAAATGTTTGCTGTGAGAAACTATCTTCTGCGAGGAAGAAAACTTTTTAATTTCTACCAGTAACTAACTCTGCTTGGTTAAACTGTTGTGTTGATATTTACTTAGAGGATAATATTTTTTATAGACTCAGAACTCCAGAGTCCATCTGTAGAGGGAGAGGATAAAGAACTTTGTCGAAAGTCAGACATCTTTCAGAAGTACCAGACCACAGCAAGTGGTGGGTCTTGGCTGTTCTCTGTTCTATCTATTCCACAGTTAAGCTGCTAAAACCAGAATGCACCTGGGAAATCCCTGCCTGCCACAAAAGGCTGGGAGAAGAGCAACTGGTTTGAAACCTGTTCCATTGTGACACAGCTGGTGCCTGCCGTGCCACTCTTGAGCACTCACTGACTGCAGTGTGGAATGTGTATGACTTGTGATAGCTTAGCACCAGCCTGTGTGGCTCTTGACAGCATCTGTAAGCCAACATCTGCTTTGCAACTGTTGATGCTATTCTTTGGCCCTGCAGTACTGTAGAGACAAGTGCTGGTTCATGTTTTCACAAATGGCTCTTCAATTATGACAGCAGGAATTGCATCTGGGAAAGAATAGCTAGCTTTTCAAAAGTGTCTTCCAACATCACATCCCGACTGTCTCGATCTTGCAACATTTAAGAAAATGAAGTAATTTCACAGACTACTTTGGTGTTGTCATTTTTGCTTTTGTTTGCACTTCCAGTATTTTTTAACTTGTGAGTGAGGTTGTAACTGTCTTGTATATTCTCTAGAGGTTGTTGAAGTATTTTTAACTTCAAAGTAAGTTGAAGGTAAAAGACAGTATTTTTAACAAAAATGACTTTTAATAGAAAAATACTTTTTTCTTCTTCTTTGGTGGTTGTTGGAATACTTTTTGACATTAATATTTTTTCATCGAATCTTTTTTTATCATTTCTCAACTTCTTCATAATACATTGGTAGTTTTTCCTGTGTAGAAACTGGTGCTTTGATTGCTCACTGTATAATAGTTTTTTGTAACCAAAATCCAACTAGGCAGAATGAGACCAGTAGCAAGCAATCCTGCTTTTTACTTTGAATTAGTTTCCCCATGTACACAGGGGCATTGGGAATTCCTATTTAATGTCTTTCTGAAAGAAATCAAAGAACCAATTCAGGAAGACCTGTGCTTTAGTGAGTAACTTGGGACAATCTTTTGTTCCATGTTTTGAGCTATTAAACAGTACTCAAAAAAAATCTAGTATGATGTAGCATACTTGTGAAAATATCACTTAGTCCTAATTTTGGTGTTGTCATCTTTTATTGCATCACGTTAAAAGAATTTGGGAGATATGTAAGCTAATAAAGGTAAATTGGTGATATTTTTCACATGCTTCATGCAAAAGTCCTCCCTGAGCCACTATTGGTACTTTTCCTATGTCTTCTGCGTATATAAAGATGTGCAGATAATGGTGGCTCTGAATGGACTAAGGACCCTCAGATGCTATTATCTTGGGACATAATCTATGCCAAATGATTGGGCAACTATTTGAATTGCTTGGAAATTTTCTGATGAAATAGACTTTTGCTGAAATTTATCACCATGGTGAAACTGAAATGTTTTGCAGATACGGACCAACTTTTTCCAAAGTTATAATGGAATCTAAACAGAGCTGTTTCTTCTGGGCAAGTCTTTGATTTGATTACTTCTCTGGTAACTCACCTACTTGGCATGTTACTGTGGTGTTGAGGCTTCTACCTGAGCACGGTGCTCATTCATTTTCTGACAGCAGCCCCAGGTAGTTTTCTTCCTCAATAAGTATAGTGATCACTTCATTCTCTTGTGAAGAACTTAAAAATCACAATTTAAAAATTTCTAATCAGAATGAAAATGGGATAATCCTCATATTAACAGCTATCCACTTAGTCCTTGTGTGTCATGCAAGCAGATCAGGCCAGGACCATTATTCTTTTCTTACACACAAGTTCATGGACTGAATTGTGGATACTGGGAGTGGTTTTCCAAGTGAAAACTGTAAGCAAATGTTATCTTTGCTCTCTACCTTTCTTTTTTTTGGGGGCATGTTTTGTCATTGATATGTTAATCTGTCACCTTCTGTATGTATTTGCTTGCTACCACATGCATTCAAATTTTGGTGTATGAAAAGTTCTTGTGTGCTATTAGTATACAGCTGATAATATAGGAAAACTCCTGTGGAGTTACTTAATTTTTGGCTTGTTACTTGTAGGAGCAGTTGTTTTCTTGTGTGCCTTTACCTCATGGCAGAAGAACAATAGGCAGAGCATATCAGAAAAATGACCATGAAAACTGAAAATGCACTCCTTGTTAACTAAACATCTTTGAATATGCTTTAGGAGAATATTTTATATTTTTGTGAAAGCTGGTTTTAAGGTCAGAATAAATATTACCTGAGAAAAGACAACAGAGTTTTAATGCAGAAGATAGTGCATTTAAAATGTAGATTAATTTTATTTATGAATGTTATCCAAATAATGGAAAAAAGTTCTCAGATTTTCCAGATTGCTTAGTATTTTTAAAAATATTGTTGAATATTTTGGCAAAGTTAGTCAGGAGGATATTTTCTTATGAATATGTATTGGAAATATATGAATCTGTTGCTGTGATTTTTTTGGTGAAATTCTCACTGAAGTGGCATGTTTGGACTGAACAAGGCCTTTGTAACCTTTTGTTGGTCCATTAAAAAGCGCTGTCCTTCTGTAACAGGTGATGTTTTAAAAATACAATACTTTATTGCCTGTCAGCATAGTGTATGCATTTGCTTCCTTGAATTTAGTATACTTTTGTTTTTAAAGCAGCCCACTGAAACAAGCTTGCACATGCAAAGAAAATCAGATTTGCAAGGATAACTCATGTCATATATGCTGAATATGAAAACTATTGTTATTGTCATAAGATTTTAAACTTTTAATAGCATAACAAGCCATGCTGAGCACTTGTTATGGGCATGTTTAATTGTGCTCCATTTGTCTGTGTATTCAAACTGAACTGCAAAGACTGTAATTAAATATTAATTATACATATTAAGTGAAAATCAAACAAACTAGCCAAAATTATGGCAAGTGGGAAGCTGACTTTTTTTCTCAGTCTAAGTTTGGATTTAGAGGTAAAAACTTGATTTTGGTCGTCTTGGAACAACATGCATAATACCCTTGTGATGTTCTATCACTGCCGGCTAACGTAAGACTTGTTAGCACTTTTTATGATACTTTGCTGCAATCTTAATCTCCTGTCACAGGTAGAGTGAGACCTTCATACAAAGTTTATTAGAAAAGTTCCCATTGAGTCATGAGGTGCAGAAGGGACGCGCTTGCCTTTTAAACTCCTTCTCAAAGAGGAGCCTGGTGTGGCTAGATCCAATCTTAATGCCAAACTAATAGTTTTAGGTTCTAAGAAATTATAGGGTTGTCATTGAACCTTTGTACAGCTTTGTCCCACAGGATTAAGGGAGGCAAACCAGATCTAATAATATAAAAATGAATTATTTACTATAATTAATGATTAGACATGAAGATCTTAATCAGAATTATTTACTATGCATTATAGAAGCTAAAATTAGGATAGTATAGTGTGTGCTATGTCAAAACAGTTTTATTAAAGCAATTCCATTAAAGCTAGCAAAGAAACCCCCTAAAAACTATTAAGTAGAGATTGATGTTACTTACCTGTATCGACAACTGTGTCACCTTAGCATTTGTAGATAAGGACACTTTACCAGATCTGCCACATCTCCACCTCATTATCAGCATGTTAAACTTTGGTGTTGATGAGTCAAGCCTGTTAAGCATAACCCAACACTGAAAGCAGCATGACACCCTCT